CGGGGATGTGCGGGAGAGGATCAAAATCTGAAGTCCAATAATGGATCTCAGGTCAGGAATGAACCCAGAACCCAGAACGTCACCTCACAGCATTTGAATTTAAACTTAATTCTCCTCAGCTGCAAAAATCCCAAATTCATAAAAGCAGATTTATGAAACATGCCTGGCATCGTGGCGACCTCGTACACCTGTTGCAACACAGAGACGAAAGTAATCATACTACTGAGATTATGATGCATTTACTGTGGCTTTATGCGTCTGTTTTTATTAAAAATAAAGCCCAGTCCCCACCTCCGTGTGCTCCTCGGTGGAGTCGACCACTTGTTTGTATTTGTCGTCAGGCTGAGGCAGCACTTTAGTCAGGCCCTGAGCGACCCAGCCCATTACGCCAGACCTGGCAGGGAAACGCCGCTCGTTTACCCGTAACTCTGCACAGTTTAGTCAAATACTCACTGGTTGTGTAAAGACACGGTACCTTTCTCCATTCTCTCCTGACTGGTGCAGAAAAAGAGAAAATCGAGGAAAGGAAATCAGGGAAAATGTGTGCGTGGGGAAGATTTTATAACAATAACGGTTCAGGTTCTGTGAAGTTTCTCTTCAGACTTTGGCTCCTGGGAGTCAGTGAGTTAAAAAACAAACACAAAGAGGAATTCTGCTTGTTTGGTGCTGGAGCTGAGAGATACTTCATCCTGCAGCTGGTTCAAGTTTTCATCCATTACTAACATTTCGTACTTTCATGTTTTTGCCCATCAGACTCTCCGTAGACTCACCTTGACCTCTGAGCCGGCCCTGTTGACCAGAGGGGAGCCTGGAGGCTGCGGCAGAGCGCTGACGAAGCCGTTAGAGAGCCATCCCATCACTCCGGTGCTGTTCTGACTGGAGGAGGTGAACAGGCGTCAGCGTCGCTTCAGCTACACAGTCACACGGTGGATATCAGGCGGCTGAGGAACGAAACCACTCACCTGTCCACAGAGGCTTCCTCTCCATTTCTGACTGGAGCCCCTTTCACTGTGAAGACATGAAACACATAAACGTGGCTCCACATGAGCAGAAACAACAGTTAATCATCCTCACCCTCTCTGTTCTTTGTGGCCTCCTGCTGAGATTAGAGCAACAGAGATAAATAACGAGAAATGCATCAACATCGCACGGCTGTGAGAAGATTTAAGGCGTCTTACTGCAGCGGCGTTGGTCTTAACCCCTTCACGTCCTCCCAGAGTTTCTGCAGGCTGAGGAACTACTTTCACCACCCAACTGAACATCCTGTTTGGAACATAATCAGCTTCTTAAAAAGCACGTTGCTCCATGGAATTAACCTTTTACTGCTCACCAGCTGCATGTGGAGGAAACGAGGCCTGATGAAGGACCTTTTCAGGGTTTTTATCCACACTCTGTAATTTTTCCCTCTAACATTTAGAATCGTCTCGAGTTAATTAGATAAATGAAAAGGGCCTTGTGACTTGTGATGGGGATGCAAAAGCCCACACAGATGGCAAACTTTAGACAGCAGAGATTTAACCTTGTTCAGGCTGCAGAGCCCCTTAAGCTGCTTACGCGGCTCCACAGGCGGTCGACGACTCGGTCATTTCAAATGATCAAGAGGGACAGAAATCAATAAGAGCAAATTGTGAGCAGAACTGAGCTGATTTAAGACAACTCATCTGGCTTTACCTGAAAAGTCTTCCCATCTCACCAAGACAACCTCCTTCAGCAAAGGTACAGAGACCATGCAAGAAGCCCTGCAGCTCCAGCTAACCCGGAGGGGCTGAAGCGGACGTGATTATGGGACAAATGACCTCCTTGCAAACTTGAGACACAGATTTCATGCATTTCATAATTTTTTCACCCTATTTTGTTCTTCTTTTTTTCTGTATTCAGTTTTACAAACAATTTCCACTTTTTATTCTGTTATCTTGTTTGAATTACCTGTGAAATAATTTGGTCAACTTCAGTGGAGCGGTGCCTGTTCGTGCTTGCCAGAATGAACCCAAATCCGGGTTTTTTTTTCCTAAATTAATTCTTATTTTACAGAAAGTTTCCCAAAAACTCCAAATCAAACATTCACACCACTGACAGGAATCTGTTCTCACTCCCTTCTTCCATAAGTGTAGCTTTCCTTACCTGCGAGCCTACAGGTGACTCTGCATGCCGGTGGTATGGAGACCCAGAGTGTGGCACAGGTCTGATGAGACTTCCACGATGGCTGACGTGAGCTAACAGGATTAAACTGCAGCTCCTGAAGGTCAGGGCACAGTCCTGGGCTGTGAGCAATCGCAGATTAACATCCAGGAAACGCATCGGGAAAAGTGGAACCGCGCATTTTTCACAAGTTAGGATGAAACAAGAGAGGGAAAGTTCTGCTTTGACTAAAGTTTATCAAACTTGCTCATTTATGATTATGTGACTTTTTAATAGCTATGGGATGTAAAATCAGAATTATTAGAAATGTTCCCTTAATTGTAAGCTACTAACTATGGAGCAGTGAATCAGAAAAACGAGACACTTCCTAATAATCACGTACTTTCTCCTAGTTGTGGTATTACATCATGATTATTAGATACCAAGTCATATTTATGAGATGCAAAGTTATAATTATAGGAATCATAATTAAGTATCTCATAAATATGACCGTAGAGGTGTTGAACCGTCTGTTTTCTGTCAGAAACGAATGCAGGAGGTAGGTGTAGGAGACTATTTTCATGTTCACCTTAAAGTGGTGAAAACGGGATTGCATAGAAAATGAAACTGTTGTAAGTTGAAGTATTTTTCCCAGAATAAAGTGGAAATGTTGAGACAGAGACAACGTTGAGTCGACATACTGGTCCCAGAAAAAATAACAAAATAAAAAGAAATTTTAAATCTCAGATATTTTATCCTTCACAATAAAAGTTTCAAACATACACCTACTTAAAATAACTGACGTTTATCAATGATGATGTCTTGAAAACACATTACTTATTTATACCTTTTTATTCCTCACTAAACCTTGTTTCGTCATCTTCCACAGAAGCTACCGTTTCAAAAGTAAAACTGAGTTTTAATATTTGTGTTAATAGTGATTAAAGAGGATTTAAGACCTTTTTTTAATGACTGGTAAATAAGACTTGGAATATAGAGTAAACTTTTCTAATAAAAAAAAGCATGATTTAAAAAAAATTAAGGACCTTGGTGTTATCTTTGACCAGGACATGTCATTCAAATCCCAGGTTAAACAGGTTTGTAGGATTTCCTTTTTCCACCTTCGGAATATTGCTAAGATTAGAAGCATCCTTTCCAGGAGTGATGCTGAAAAACTAGTTCATGCATTTATTACATCAAGACTGGATTACTGTAATCCATTACTCTCAGGAAGTCCACAGAATGTAGTTAAAAGTCTTCAGCTTGTCCAAAATGCTGCAGCTAGAGTTCTGATGAGAATTAAAAAGAGAGATCATATCTCTCCTGTCTTAGCTTCCCTACATTGGCTACCTGTTAAATTCAGAATCGATTTTAAGATCCTTCTTCTCACATATAAAGCTCTTAATAATCAAGCTCCATCATACATCAGTGATCTGATTGTTCCATACGTTCCTAACCGAGCACTTCGCTCTCAGACTGCAGGTCTACTGGTGGTTCCAAGAATATCTAAACTTAGGATGGGAGGCAGATCTTTTAGTTATCAGGCTCCTCTCCTGTGGAACCAGCTCCCAGCTTTAGTCCGTGAGGCAGACACCTTGTCTACTTTTAAGAATAGGCTTAAAACATTTTTATTTGATAGGGCCTATGGTTAAAATCTGATGTTAGCCTAGATCTGGACAAGTGGGGGAGTAGAGGGAGGTGGAGTGTACAGTCGGTAAAGACGGCTCTCCCTTGCCCTGCCTCCAACATGCCTCCATCTAAAAGGCTATAGGCGCTATATGATTATTTTACAGGTGCTAACCGAATTGAATTAAGAAATTGTGTAAAATAATATTTTCATGTTGCAAAAAAGGCTGTTAATTTCCAACACATTTAGGTAAACAGAAAGAAAATCCACAGGGAGGGCGAGAAGTGTTCACCTGAGTGGGTGTGGTCAGACAGACCACTCCACTTTCTCATCAGGTGTGCTTTTTGTTATTTGAGAATTGAGAACCATTTGTGGTGCCGGTGAGCCAGGAGGCACGGGCAGATCCCATTATCAGCTCAGCACGGGATAATCTGGAGGAACAGCTCCATGACACAGACCCTTGGTCGTTGGCTGGACGGTGGCAGCAACACGCTGGCCTCAATCCTCACGAACATCTGGATAAGACCAGGTGACGGAGCGGTGTGGACAAACGCAGGAGGCTGCGCGTTGTTTCACTGAACCTCAAACTAACCTTCACTTCACTTACAGACTTCAGCAAAGCAACAGGGGAACATTCAAAGAAAATAAAAGGTGAAGCTGAAAGAGAAGGTTGGCACAGGTGTAAAGCTGCTGTAGATGATCTGTGATGGAAGCTAATCCTAATTACCTCTGACGTAAGGACAACCAGGAAGGCTCTCGTCTCCGTCCGAAGACAAAGGCAAACCACAGAGAGCTGCAGAGATTAACAAATAATCACCTCATCTCAACTGTTTCAGGTAATCACGTCAGCATTTTCATCATGACAGTAACAACCGAAAGTTTATTATACCTTAAGCTAGAGCTTTAACACCGATCTTAGTGATTGTTGGGTTAGAAACATGACCATTTTCTTATCTGACGCCACTCGGCAGCCCTCTGCTGGCCAGAAACCACACGGGTAGGTGTCCCGGGGGTGCCCTTTACCTGCTTTATGGCTGTCAGTGGCGTGTCCAGATCTTTTAAAATGGGGTGGCCCAGGTGAGGCACAACTTTGTGCATGGGTGGCACCAATGGTTATGCTTTTCTTGTTTTACCCCCAAGCCTTTTGTGGACAATGAAAAGCCTATTTAAAGGTAAATTAGTGTGGTGGCACCTGGGGTGGCCAATCAGATTCCAAGGGTGGCATATGCTACCCCAGGCCACTCCCTGGACACGC